CTTAAACAAATGTTTAAAAAAATTTTATTTTAAGATTTGAACATTTTAAATTTTTAACTACGAGCGACATTCTTTAAGAGACAAATAAATTATTTTATACTTAAGCTGATTCTCATTTTTGAAGATTTATTATTGTTTTCTTATTTAGCTTTTTTTTTTTAACCATAAAAAGAAGGATGTCAAAAAAAAAAAAATATCACCTGAGAAAGAGGGCTTCTCAGTCAGTGTTGTGGGCCTGGGTCTCTTAAATGTATGATTGCGTCTCAGGTCGGTGTAATTGGGATGTGTTGTTGATAAATTTTGAACCAAGGATTTAGGCCCGTTAGGGGGGAGGCTAACATCAGTTTTATTTCATTTAAGCCCATTAATTGTTTTAGTTTTAGAACCCTAGCCTGATCCTAATGTGTCTAAATCAAATCCAAGACTGTTAACTAGTTTCCGGAGCAGGCCCAAATCAAAGTGTTATTTCTGCAAACTGCTTCCTTTGTGCTTAATTTTCAAACAAAGGAACTGAAAAAACTAACCCAAATTAAATTTAAAGTACACAATCTCTAGCCAATCCCTTCTATTTCTTTTAAACCAGACAATCTCCAGACATCTCTCAATCACTATAATAAATTTGAAGCTAATATATATGAAACAAACTATCAAGATAAAGAGATTATAAATTCAAGTTATAAGATATGAGTTTGGTACAGCGAAAGGGATAAGATAGGGCTGTACAATCAAAAGCAACAATAATAAAAGAGACATAATATTAAAGAGATTGACGGATGGCCTCCAACGTCCAGATGCCTTTAATTTATGCTTGGTCCCTAGGGTATATGGTTCATGAAAAGGACTGAAGAAGTTAAGAGTGCTTTGTCCTCTTCTTAAAAAATGGCAAAGTGATTTGTATCTGTGAATTTGTTTTCCAAACCCAGCTTGAATCCAAATAATAGAGAAAGCAACTCCTAAATTCCAGTCCCCAATATTCTGGATCAGGCAAAGCAAATCCTGTCCACTAATAATGCCTTGTTTGCCTTAGTTCAGCTTCTGCAAAATTAGTTCACTAACGCGTAGCCCATCACAAAAAAGATAAAAAACAACTCACTCACACATACTGTTATATTATCCCTTGTTCATCTGTACCTTTCTTCGAAAGCGAAATTCTTCTCCTTTTTTTTTTGGTTTTGCAAAAGTTTAGTCATGCAACGATGACTGCTGCCTCATTTTCCACCACATAAAACCCTAATGATTATCAGAACCATAAAATTGTTTGGAAACTTTGCGAAAGAGATTAATTACAACTTACAAGAGAATTCTGCGCGGATTGCACTTCAGTTTTTTATAATTATAAATAGGTGTATCGTCATAATCTTTTTTCTTTTCTTTTCTTTTTTTTTTTTGGGCAAAAGTAATCAACACCTTGAAAAAGAAAAGCAAAATGTTGCTTTGGTAAACCACAAAACATTTGCTCAATGTGTTATCCACTATAATCTCAAACAAGAAACTGAGAATCTAGTTCTTTCTCTTTCCTTTTCTTTGCTTATGCTGCAAATAATTTCCCTTCATATCCATGTACCAACTTTTCTTTCCATTTTTTTCTTCGAGTGTTTTTGTTTGTTCTGTGCATAGTCAATGATATTCACGAGCTGCGCAATTTGATTAATGAGATTGATGCATGAACTGAATCCCCTAGCGATTCTAATTAAAAGTATAAAAATTAAAAAACCATGTAACTTAATCCTTGAGACATTAATGTAACAAAATTAACATACGTTTCTCTTGCCTTCAAATTAAGATTATGATGATCAATATAAACCTAATGAGCCAGTGACAATTGCTATGATCATTTAATTTGGCTTAATCTATGTGATCAAATGTGCGACAAGCGACATTTTAATTTGCATTATCCTAAACATTTGGATTCATAGTATCTGATTTGAGGCCTATAACGTGTAAGAATCAATTTGCGGCTTTAAGGCTTCAAGAATAACGTGATGAAATAAACTCCATATATCATCCAATACTTAATTTGGATTAAAGAATCTTTTCTTCAAGAGTTTTCCGAAGAGACCATGACAACAACCCTAGGTCTTTGACTATGGATGCTTACCATACAATCAAAATTCCCTGCATCATATATCGATACGCATTATACCTCTATGTTTGACAAGCAATCCTTTGGTACAGATAAACTGACGAGGTCACAAGATTTCCCAATTTGTGCAAACTACCAAATGTAGGAAAATTGTTACATGGTTTAATTTGAATTCTTGTGAAAGGGGATTGGAAATGGAATTTGAACATTTCTAGTCATTTTAGGGCTAGGGTTAATTAGTTTGGCTATATTGATTAGTCATAGAATCTTGTTATTGAAAATTTCCAGGGACCATTTTCCATGTTTTCGTCGCCACGTTGTGTAGGAAAGTCAATATATCCCAATACACAATTAATTAGTGGGGAAATGATGGATGTCAAAAGCCAATGATATCATGAATAGACACACACACACACATATATATGATAATCTTGACCTAGGGTTAATTTAGATTAATCTCTCATGCATGTGGGCTTAAATATCTAAATGAATTAATTAAAGCCAAAAAAGAAATAATTAATATATAGCTTAATTGATTTTTGGTATGCATGAAAATAAAATGGAGCACATGCACCAAACTTTGATGATGATATCAATTGTGTTAATTACGTGTAGCGTATGTATGTCACAATCTCCGCCAACTAACCCATTTGCAGTCTCTATCACATGTGAGAAGAGGTGATGAAGGGCTCATGCCAATTGCGTTCATGATTAATCTTGCCGAAAGCTGTTAAGAGAGGAAGTAAATAACTAGGCCTTTCTTCTGGCGCAATACGTGCTCGGGTTTGTGGATGCTAAGCTTTGGTTTGGCCCATAATGCTTCACAAGAAAAAAGAGAAAGGAGGAAAAGAAAAATAAAAAAGAAGGTATATATGCTATAAAATCATTGAATTGAAACTGTTAGTTGGATTGGGTTAGATAATGTGTTAAAATACCTAACAAGTAAGGTACTTTGTCAAAGTCATGTTTTTGGCTTCTAAAGTAAAAGGGAGCTTTCATGAAAAGTAGGAATTTTATGGTTACATCCAAGAACTAACCTTTGAAAAAAAACCTATACTACAGCCATAGAAAAAGTTATTTTATGATGCATTTTCATCACTTCTCAGAAAACATCTATAATATGCATTTGAAGATTACTAACATGGAAATTAAGCGTTTTGATGTTCCACAAAGAAGAGAATACCGACCTTTTTTTTTTTTTTTTTTTGCTTTTGTTTAAGCTTTTCTATGGATGACCATTATTGAAAAAAGGGAAAACGACATGAAAAACAATGGCATCTGCATAAAAAGATATATAATCGATGTTTGCGTGAATAGACACAAGATATATAGAATAATGTGGCACGTGAAAATTTTCTTGTTTGAAATAGAGAAAAAATAAAGGGAGAGTTAGGTTTGCCTTGGGAGAAAGAAAAGACACAGCATACAACATATATAATTTGGTTAACATATAAATCAATCATAAACCAAGAGTTTTAAATCTATTAGTAAGTAAATATCATTAATTTTGTAAGCAAGTTTAGAATTCAAGTA